TTAGTGAATATTCTTTAGCCAGGCAGATGTCTGTCCTGTTCGTTCAGCGCTGCGGTGAGATCTACCAACTCATTTCACATAGAAAGATGAAAGGAAAAAGATTTACTCAATAAAACAAATCTCGCTTAATTGCTGTGGTTAGTCTCCTGCCTGAGCTTTATGGGTTCCTGCAGCTGGCTTTAATCTCCTGATTTACTCTTGGAACAAAGAAGGAAAGGAGTGAACTTAAATCATGGCAGGAAGAAGTAGAAATGTTTTTGGCAGAACTGGGGAAGGTTAGAGACTTACTGTAAAGTGCAGCCCAGAAACAGGCCACCAGGAGAGGCTCCCTGGCTTTTAGGAGATACAATCCAATAATTTCTTACAGTGTGACCTTTACAGTCGGTAATGTCAAAGGCTTCTGCTGGTCTGGGAGGATGAGCAAAGAGTTACAGGAAACACTGAGGCTCCAGAGAAGACTGACCAAAAGGGGTCAGTATTTGTTAAGTTGAAACACCAGCTTGACAAATAGAAACGGTGGAGGATTTACGGGTGGCGATGCAGAGAGGATTTAGCATCGTCTCCCTCGCCCAGCATGGTGAGGTACTGCATGCCCACGCTTGGTTTGTGTGACCCAGGCGCTGCCTTACAGCTGAGGCAATCCCCCCTGGTCAGGCTGAGCCTGCATCTGTCTCTAATATTTATGTTTGAAATACTTCCTAATGAAAAGTCTTCCGGCACAGCAGCTTGGACAACAGATGTGAGCTGAGGAGACTGTCTGCACAAAGCGGTGGTCACTGATCTAAAAGCAGGCTGCGCTCAGATCAAAGTGCAGCATGTGGAGAGTAGTGTGGCATGTATGGGGAGCACAGAAGATGCAGAAAAAAGTATAACCCTCTGAAAACAAACAGGCTAACAGGAACCAGAAGGTTTAGAGTCTGGAAAACTATTCCAGATATTATGAAGCTCGCTGATTATAGGAATTTAGTATTGATTTAGCTTTTTGTTCTCTAGCGCAGCCCTGTGTACCCAAGCCGCTGAGTAAACTTGCTGTTGGAGTGCGGTTTGCCCATACTGCAAACCCCACACAGCGGGTACCTGCTGCTGCTGGGGGTATTGCCCTGGGCCCCCTCCGCTCCTCATTTCACGCTTCTGCCCTTCCCTGGCACTGCCATTGCTGCTTATCTCATCTTGCAGCGAGCCATCCAGGAAGGTAAATCATCCCCTGATTACAGTGAGTCAGCCAGGCGTCAGTGCCAGATAAAAGGAGTCAGGGACCTGTACAGCCAGGGGCTCCTAAGCAGCTTTGCATGATGGTAGCCCACCCGTCACTCCAGACTCTTCCTTTGCTGGTAGATTACTTCTCCGTATCACAGCACACCAAGGCAATGCAGCACCGCTTGGGTCTGTGCTTTGAGGGTGACTTTGTCTGGAGTAGGAGAGGTGATGCTCTCTGGGATCAGCGTATGTCAGCAGAATCACAGCGCACTAAGAACTGTGTGGAGTGCTCGGCGGTCTGCCCTCTCCATAGCGCTGCTGCGGGTGCCAGATCCCTTCCACGGCCATAGCAGTTAGGCAAGATTAAATTTTAAATTTAAATAGGAAACTAATGTTTGAGCTTCTGAAATCAGTTCACATCTTCAGCTCTAGCCATTGCTGATTCAATTGCTTTTCGGTTACTGTCTTTATCAGTTATGTCTAAATACTGCTGAGATTTCTTGTAATTTGAAGACGGTGAAATGGAAGAGCTAGGGTTTCATCTGTAGTGGATCAGAATGTATTAATTAGAAGCATAATTTCTAAGTTTGACGTGTTAGGGAGATAAGGTGCCAAATGGAAATACTTGTATACAACTGAAAGCTTCAATTTGGAAAAGAAATATTTGCTTGGAAATTGTACATTTACATAAATGCATTTTTACTGGGTCCTGACAAAAATGAAGTAATAATTTCTAGGTAAGCTGCTGGAGACGTTTTCTGTCATGTCTTTGAGATGCTGCTTGTTCTGCGTGCCTGCAAAATGTTTTAATTCTCCATTGAGAGATTTAAAGAGAAACCTTTTTTGAGACAAAGCTGAGGCAGAGATTTCCTGTGCTGTGGAAAGATAACCTTAGAAGTTCAAGCAAGAAAGTCTGTTCTGGCTACCATGTGTTCATAAAGCTTCAAACCCCGTGCAGATGGAGTCCTCTATCCAGTGTGGCATTGAAGCTGACCTCTGCTATTCTGCGCTGTTCTTAATGATGGGTTTTCCTTTCATCTTCCCATTGCAAGGTCTCCTTTGTCAGAAGATCAAAAACTGCGCTTAACTTTCAGCACGTAGCCAATGAAACCCATAGGTTTTGTGCATATGTAGGTGATTTGCTTAGCCTCACTAAGGAAACCCGGAGTGGTTCAGCTGTTTGTCATCTCTGTCTGTTGTCACCGTACCTGCCTCCCTTCAGTAAACACAGTAAATGTCTATATACTGCATAGATTAGGTGGGTAAATACAGGAGACCGGCAAGCAATTTGGCCTCCAGGTCCTCGGTCTCAGGGTTTATTGAGGTAGTATAACTTACAGATTTTTATGTACAAAGTTGGCACTATTGATTTAAAAAAAATTAATATTTAATCACAAGCATACAACAAGGTCAACGAATCTTTGGTAAGGAATTAAATAGACTTTTCCTTGCTAGCACTCAAACACTAAGTAAATAAAAATGTAAGTGAAAACATTTGCAGCATATGCGTGCGGGCTGCATTTAAAAATGTATGGGGCTCAGTACTGTCTGACTTAATTCTGATTCATCCATTGACCTTGTTATATAAAACTCAATGCCCTTTTTAGAGGGAGAGTTGCAAATGGTGCTTCTGCATATTTATTTAGGAAGCTCAATCTTCTGGGTGTTCATACCCTAATTCCAGTGCTAAGTGCAATCACAACATTGATTTTTCTCGCTAAACATAACCTACTTTACCCTAGGATGGAACTTTTTTTTTTTAATGGGCTTTATATAATGGCATATGTGCAAACCACTCAACTTAATGCCCCATGGTGTAGTTAATTAACAAAATGGCATTGTAGCCGTGGTGTTTCGTCCTCTGGCAGTGTCTTTTACCGCTAACCTTGGGCGTGTAAAATGCGCGTCCTAATTAACAGGAGCCCAGGTATTGACTGTGTCAAGCTCCATGGTGGCAAGAGCAATTTGCAGCTGCTGACCAAGTTGTAATTCTGTTGAAAATCCAACACGAGGAACTTCCTTTTGACTGACATGATGCCATTTCAGAGCCCATCTCAAGGAGCAGCTGAACAAAGTATCCGAATCAGTTTTTACTTCTGTCCAATTGCTAAAGAACACTATCCTAAATTACATCCAAACAGCTCCTAAAATGCATACTACCAAAAGCATACTGATAGTTTCATACAGATTTATACAGATTGGTGGTAGTGTTTTCTCATTAATGAGATGTTTATTTATTGTTCATTAACTTGAACTGTAATATGCTGGAAAACTTAATGGGACTTCAAGCTTTAATGAACTTTCAGTAACGGATTTGATTCTCCCTTTGCTTTGTCTGTTTTCATTTCTGAGTAATTCAGCTGAAGGCATTGGAGATGCATCAGGTTTTGTGCTAGTTTTACTAGGGCGAGACGGTGATCTGTGAAGCTCCATGGTCTTTCATGTTACAAATGATTGAATTAAGCACTTTCATACTGAAAATAAAACCCCTGTTTTCTTTTTCAATGCTTTCAATTAATTGTTATTAAAAAAACTGCAACGAAAAGGCTATCAGTCATTCAGGACTACGTTTTTAAGTTGTTTTAGTGTCTAAAGATGCAACAAGACCATTTTTCCCAAGGAACTTGGGTGCTGAGTCCTCATAAATGTCAAGATATCAACATCTTGTTGGACAATGGTTTCTGCTCAATAACCAACGTTTTGTGTTGCATGAGTATTTCAGAAAAATTTGCTTTTTTACCATACCTCAGCCTCTTTTGTGTGGTGAAGCCAGGTCCTGCTGAGCAGAGGCCATGAGGAGCATCCTCTGATGGTGTGAACATAAGCAGCCTTTTGACTTCTCCATCCAAAGCTGAGGTGAAGCTGCTCACAGAGCCATGTACCTGGCATCCTGCTCCCCACATACTCATGGTCCTGTGTGGGCTGGTGGGATTTAGTCCCTCACTGGTTTTTGAAGAGAAAGCCTGGATCAGGAGCCCTGTTTCTCATTCCTGATGCTTCACGATAGAACTGACGCTCAGCGGTTAAATGTTCTGCACTCAGATAGCATCTTTGCCAGGAATTCTTTATACAAATGCTCCTTAATGAAGCACATGCTCTTTAATTAACCCTCCATACAGTTATTGCAGCTGTTATTAGTGTCACTGGATAAATACAGTTAACTTTTCCACAGGATGTAACTACTAACAGTGGCAGAAACTCGCATCCTATAGAACATCTCTGAGTTACAAAGTCTTGTCTTGACCAGCAGCTGCTTTCTCTCCAGGCTGGAGGTTTCCAGTAGAAATTTCCTTGGGAATCAGTCAGAAAGGGGAATTGTCAGGCAGAAGATCAACAACCTGGTATCTGGAAGGATATCATATGGTATAAAAATGGGTTATTTAAAAATCTCCAGTGAAGTATTCCTCTGTGCAATGATGAAGCACAGGTTTGTCTTCATGCAAATGAACAGAACCCTCCTGAGTCTTCTGTGTTGGCACAAATTTTCCTTGGGAGAAATTCTTGCCAGAATATAGAAAAGAGCCTTAAATGCAGGTTTTCCTACAGGTACAGTCTTAATCATGGCTCCAGCTGCTGCTGGCAAACAGATGGACATACAGTTAGGTGATTCTGTCCAGAAAAAGTAGATGTTGCCTTAGATCTGCATTCATGATACCAGTCTCTTATTGACTCATGGATTAGAAACATATTTAATGCTTAGCTTAAACCAGAAATACTGAGATTTCCATGCCTGAGCTACATTTGGAAGATCTCCATCCTGAATGACTCCTTTGTAAACTTTTGGCCATTGCTGTTTCCACCAGGGCAAAGGTGAAGAAAGGGGTAAACATCCTCAGCGCAAAGACGAGCGACCCCCGGCAGTGGGACGTGAAACAAGAGGTGGGGAACGGCGGAAAGCACTCGACCACAACCGTGATTTGTCAGAGGATGGCACCAGGTTCAAGGAACAGGTATGAAACCTCGTCTTCTCGGCACATTAAACTCATTTATATCCATGATACCATTCATTGGTTGAAGGACTTAGGGCTCATATTACCACTACTCATAGCCATTAAACCTGTAGCCTGGAAATCTGGAGACACTTACATTAACTACGGCACCATCTGCTGATCTATAACAGGGCATCTCGGTTTCCAGGTAATAAAATTCATCAGCTTAAATTAAAAAACGAATAGAATAGGCCTTGGTGTGGGGGGGCAGGGGAGTGTCGTTTTGGCATGAATATGAATACCCTTAATTTTAAAGGTTTTTACTGAACATAATTTTTTGGCTTGATAGTTTTGACCTTGTTTCTCTGAACATCGCAGCCTCTGGTTGGTTCATCAGGCAAGCAATGGATTCTTCCGCAGTGAACCGCTGTAACTTTCCTTGGCACAGGATAATTCGAGCCTTTCAGTGTTTAATGTCCTGTATGTAATACAGAAGAATCCCCTTTTGCAAACGGCTCCTTATTCCCGAACTGGAGGTCCCTGCGCTCAGCCTGACCCTGGTAACTGTCAGAGGCAGAGCAGCACACCCCAGGGAGCACTGGTACGAACTGGTCTGCCAGTGCCTGCTTTCCTGTTTAATGTGGTTCCACCGGGGCTTGGTCTGGTTGTTCCACACTCATAAAAGCAGGACTTTTTCAGCAAGTATGATTATCTTCTGTAACACATAGTAAAGCTGTATATTGCTGCTTTCAGTGGAAATTATTTTGCTCTTGCTATTTATCATCTTAAGGAATTCTCACAACACTGCTGTACATTAGTCCACGTGGTGCATTTTCATTGCACAGATTCGAGCAATGCTTCCCTAGCTCTGCACTTATTATTAGCCTCAAACCTGGACTCATCGAAGAGTATCATAAAATCTCGGTGGATGCGGGCTTGGTTATTGCTTTCTCATGCAGTCGGTTTGTCGTATCCGCAGGCACAGAAAACCTGAGCAGATTTTACCATTTGTATTCTGCGCCCAGTCAGAGTGCCTGGGAAATATTAGACTTCTGTAAAGTGTGGAAATGTCTCTTGTCGTGAGCAGCTCGTTGATTCAATGTATTTACGCTTGATATCATTGCAGTTAGTTACATTTTCAGTGGAGAGTGGGGGGAGTTGGGTAAGAGGAAAAGGAAGATCGATCGTTTGAGCTTGCCAGAAGTAAAAACTAAAGCAGTTTGAAAGGGAGGATGTGGCTTTAGAGCCACATGTAACTCCGAGTGTGTTTGCAACTGCAAAACTATGATAGTCAGGTTATCAAACCCCAAATTAAATCTTCTCAAGCCAATTTGCATCAAGCCTAATTAACCCATAAAATATTTTTAGCGCTAATTATGCAAATAAAAGTCAATGTTTTAATTAATGCCGCGTTCATTTGTGTATGTAAATAGTCGCTGTCTTCTGAAAGCGTGACGAGCCTAGGTTTGAATGAGGTGCTTCTGCACGAGGAAGAGCTGGAGAGGGAAACCCGGGCGTATGTGCTGAGATCCCTGTGGGAAGGCGTGCGATGTAGTGGGCATTGCAGTTACTGAGCTTCAAGTGTCACTTGGAGCCCTCTGCGCAGAGCACAAATACTCTGTTAAGCTAATTTAATTTGGTTGAGGATTGCAAGTCCCTAATGGGATCTTTCTGTGCTGCCACCAGCTTTTCCAGGCTGGTTTCGCAGTGCGGTTCATTTGGGTGCTGTGCAGTTCTGTAGCAAGGTGGATGTGAGGCACTGCTCTGGAGGTCCAGCATCAGCTCAGACTGATCTCCTCTTGCAGCAGAGTCAGCTAACTCATAAATGCAGTGGTTAATTGAAGCAGAGAGAGGTGTTTTCCACTGTCTTGAAGCAAGTAAATGAAAGTTTGTAGTTCTTGAATGCTTTATAAATAGTCACACAGCTTGTCAGTGTGTGTTATTTTTCCTTATGTGACCAGCTTTTTCTAGCACAGCTCAGAAAATAAGCTAGCAGGAAAGGAGAATGAAGGGTGCTCTACAGTGATGCCTTATTTCTCAGTTGCAACCAACAAGATCATTTGGCTCTTCCCTTGTATTGCCCCATGTCCCCATTTGGCTGTGAAGTAACTCTGAATATCACTTCAATTCATAATAGATTCTGGTGCATTGGAGTGCTGTCTCCTACAAACTGCTTCATGTTAGCCAGATAAAACTGCACCCAGGGTTGATTTTGGTCATACTGGGAAGAGCCATGTGTTGAGTTGTTAAGCACAGCAGCAGGAAATTCTGGCCTTAATCTTTGTGCTTTCCTTTACTGGGGAGTCTCCCTGACCCACCATGGAGGATCACTGCACTCCTTCCCCTTCGTATCACTGGAAACAAATGCCCATACTCAAGAAAACTGCTCATTTTTGTGGCTATGTTGCTTTTCTTCTATATTTCTACCGTCATTAGTGTATGGATGTCATTACATTGTAAGCACTTGGAGACAAGCAGTTTACATCTGGATGCAACACCGCTTAGCAGCTGGTATACCTTTCCCATTATAGAAATAATAAAAAATAAGAGACGTATTTTAGATACATCACATCAGTAATTATTTACCATTGCATTTTGAGAATTTAAGTGAGTCGTGCTCTTTTACTTTTTTTTTTTTAAGTGATATTTGTTCTCTTTTAGTGCTGCTGCAGCCAGGAGCCATAGCTCCTTAACTTAGATTTATTCAAAGACTTCACTGCTCTAGCAAGGGACTGAAACCGGCTTGAAATCAGCAATGTTTGTGTGCCTCATAATGCAATTTGTGCTGAGATTCAAGTAGCTATTGATGAGGATAACAACAGCGTTGATTAGTGAAAACAAGTCTTAGGCTGCTGCTTGTTCACTTGTTTTCCCTTGTTTCTAATTTCTGGAGGAAAGCTGGTAGCTCTGAAACGTGTCCTCAGGGTCGATGAAGAGATATTTTTGGTTACTGTTGTAACCGTTTCCATCCCGTAGTTTTGCCTTTGGTTGCGGCCTCAGGCCCCTGTGGTTGATTTATGAAGTACCACATCTACGCTGAGGACAGCTTCAGTGAAAGGACTCGCGTTTGCAGTGTAGTTTATTCTGGATTGCCACCAACAGGGTACGTAAGAGCTGTTCCAAGACAGAGCAAGGGTTATTTTTAACCTAAGTGAGTTTTATTGTCTCTTTTTTGTTCTTAATAGCATACCTCCACCAGCTGCTGTGCTGTCATGCTGAGAAAGACAGATTAAGGGTAGGAGCAGGGAGGGCTAGGGGAATTTCTTAAGCTGTTTTCTCTGCCAAAGACTGAGCATCCTATGGCTGTGGTGTGAGGAGCTAAGCGGCAGTGACTGGGGCTGCTCTAGGCCTGACTCCTCTTGAACGTGGCTGGAACAAGCTGCCCTCAGTCTGCTCTTGGGCTGACATTTCTGCCCATGGATGCTGTGCTTTTTTCATGGAGGAATGGAGTCACCCAGTGCTTTTGGTTTCTGTCAAGCCGGGAGAGAAACGGAGTGTGGGAGAACAGAGAGACATTTAGAAAACCCGACATAATGGAAAACCGCTGTGATGTAGCACTTTATCCTCTTGGCCTTGAACCTTTTGAGAGGCCTGTGGGCTTACAGCTCTCCAGCCATCTGTCTGATAAAGAAGCAGACTCGGGAAGAGTGCTTCCAGATGTTATGTTTATGTTTCAGACTGTGTCGCAATCGCTTTTCTCCCCCCGCCACACGCACACACATCTTTGGGTTTCTGGTTTTTTTAACGCTGTCTGGGTATCATTGCATTCACATGGAAGTGGCTGATGATGTTACCAGGTTGTGCTCCGTATCACTGGGACACGGAGGGAAGCACCAAAGCCGTTACGATTCTGTGCAGGTCCCTCCTCTGTCTGGCAGCACCATATGCTGCCAAGGGCTGTCAGTGAAGCGAATACTCTTGTGATTGAGAAAGAAAAGTGAAGCGTATATGTACAACGTGCCTCCAACTCGAAAAACTTAAGCTGAGCGGCCTGTGTGCCTGACTACCTGAAGACAGTCGGTCTGAGCCCAATATCTGGACACAGAGAAGAGCGTTCACATGTTACGAGCAGGGTGTTATTAATTCTGTTAGAATCTGGGTCAGCTTCCCCTGGCACAGCTTTGGGACCGAGTGGTTTGCAGAGCTCAGCAGAGTGGCTGTGGTGCCTGCTGACCTCCAAACCTTGCAGTCTGAGCAGAGGACACCCATTTTCACAAGGACTCAGAGGTTTGGTGCTCACGGGCCAGGTTTTTTTCATTGCAGTTGTTCGTTCTGACTGATGGCTGAGGCAGGGTCAGAGCTGAGGTGCCACATGCCACGGCTGCAGTTGGAGATGCTTGGGAAATTGTATACGTCTTCAGGAGGTCACATCTGTGTCTGCAGAAACTGTAGAGATACTTTGGGAGGAAGACATCAGCAATGGATTTCTTTTACCATTGAACCCCAAAGCAGAAACAATTTCCAGTCACTTCTGAGAAAGTCACATACGAACAAGCGTTATGGCCTCCTGAGTGTTTTGTTTTAAGCACCATGCGTATTTTGGTGCGAATTAGGTGCAGTCTTTTAGGCTGCTGGCAAATTACCAGTGCAACCCTCAGAGCTTCCAAGGCAAGTAATTCTTGTGATGTGATCTCTCTGTTTAAAATGACATGTGGGAATGTACCCATGTAGCTCTCAATAACAGCATCAGGAATAATACAGCTAAGCCTTCACCTACTGCTTTAAAGATCCTTTCCCTCCACCCTTTGTCATCTGATTTCCCAAATAATTTATCTCTGCCTGCTGTCTTTGGTTTTAAGATTTCTCTTCATGTTCAGCTGCCTGCTTCAGGTCAAATTAGGGCACAGATGTCTCCAGCGTACGATGTAGGTGCCAAAGATGCACTGGACATCTGCATGTTCGGTGGAGAAGCAGCCAGCTGTGCCTCGTAACAAGATCTTTTCTGGGGCACAGAAGACCAGGGTTAGAAGGTTGCTTCCCAAAGGAGCCTTTCATGTGGCTCCTCTTTTGCTGCTTTGGAT